ACCATTAAGTGGACATTTCCATAGTATGGTACATTAAGTCAGAACTTTTATACCATAAACACCATATCGTCCACATGGTACAATATTGACCGGTAAATGTACCACTGCTTAAGTGGTTATGGTTAGGGTCATTGAGATTAGGGTGAATATAACATGTTTAGGGTATTATTAAGAGACCTTATAGTCCCTAAACATGTTTTTAGGAATATGGTAGAACAGTGAAGCACTATAAATTGGATTCCGATAAGCGATAAACATAGAGTGAGTACTAACTAAATAACTACCTAAACAAGGGTTGATGGAAGTGTATGTTGTGTTACAAAGTAACTCAATACAAGGATAAGATAGTGAATCCGATTCGTATGTGTTTCGATTTTAGGTAGACGTAACTCCACCCTCAACAAAACCACCAATGACTTTTAACGCCATAATATCTACTAAATAAACCTCCAAACCATGCAATAATCAAGCTTTTTTTTTGTGAGTTTCACAATTTTAAGCACACTAAGTCACTACCCAAAGGGCCTGCAATTTCTACAATTTTGTTACTTAGTAGTACAGAAATCATATGTTTTACACCATTAATATGGCAGTAGTACAATAAGTCATCAAGTGATACCCTAGACGTGTCGCCCTCTTAATGGTACCCTAATAAAATATCGGTGTACCATATCGTCCAAAATGGTACAATATTGACCGGTAAATCTACCACTTCTTAAGTGGTTATGGTTAGGGTCATTGAGATTAGGGTGAATATAACATGTTTAGGGTATTATTAAGAGACCTTATAGTCCCTAAACATGTTTTTAGAAATATGGTAGAACAGTGAAGCACTATAAATTGGATTCCGATAAGCGATAAACATAGAGTGAGTACTAACTAAATAACTACCTAAACAAGGGTTGATGGAAGTGTATGTTGTGTTACAAAGTAACTCAATACAAGGATAAGATAGTGAATCCGATTCGTATGTGTTTCGGTTTAAGGTAGACGTAACTGCACCCTCAACCAAACCACCAATGACTTGTAACTCCATAATATCTACTAAATAAACTTCCAAACCATGCAATAATCAAGATTTTTTTGTGAATTTCACAATTTTAAGCACAGTCACTACCCAAAGGGCCTGCAATTTCTACCATTTTCGTTCTTAGTGGTATAAAAAATATATGTTTTACACCTTTAATACAGAAGTGGCACGATATAGCATAATTTTGTACCATTGTAACCTGGATTTTTCGTAGCCAAATCACCATGAGTCATTAAATCGTATGCATTTATTTTTTACCCATCCCAGCTCGTAGGGGGTTCAGCTATCAGCACTAGGGGACAGAGATGTCTTGTCATAACAAACACAAGTACCCAGCTATTGGTATAATATATGAAAGCTTATGTACTACTTTACACAATATGGAGACTAAAGGGATTATAATGTACTACTGTAAAATTTTGTATCAAATCTTTTACCCCTTTTGACTTTGCGACTTTAATTACGGCAGTAGGGGAGTTATTTTTTGCAGTTATTATCCAACTAACTCCTTCAGAATTACACTCTTGCATAAAAAAATAACTACTTATTGTGAGGTCAGTGAGTGGAATGCAGTGGTACACTATTATATGAGAAAATATAGTTATATGTACCAGTTTATTATTTATCTAAACTAGTGGCACATTTAGTCTTTCACTGGGAATTATATAAATTGTTTTATTTCACAAAGTAGTTGGAGGGTAATTTATTGAGGCTTTAGCACTATAAGAAACGGTGGCAGAGGAACTAGTTCATACTTGCCTAGCTAATTCAGTGCATACAATATTTTCAGAAAAAAATAAAACACAAATGGGGAGAAGTGGGAGCAAGATAGTGTTTGTTGCAAAGGGATTGAGTGATGACAAGAAAGTGGCTACTCATAAGACCCTAAGGGGACTTATGAAGCGTCTGGAGTACATGAAAAACAATGGTCATCACGATGCAAACGACGTCATTCGAGACTTTTACCTCCCCTAAAGAGGTAAAGAAATTATGTGGTCGCACCAATCGGCAACGATAGCTCGCGGTGGGCTTCAAAATCCCATTACAGGGATTGATTTCCACCTCGAGTACCCATTCCTCACGCCATTTAAAATAGGAGGTCCCGGAGACTTTCGCAAAGAGGCGTATTGTTTCATGCACTACCTTGTGAATGCTCACAAGATTGCGATTAGTGTTAACCTCAAACATTTCTATGAAACAATGATAGATTGTGTGCGATCTTCGTGGTACTACAGGCATTAGCTTCGGTTTTGGGAACTCTTTATGAGTTACTATGATTGGGATGCAACTATGGAGGACATGCTCAACAACCACTATAAGGAAGGTGAGAAGTATTGTCTTCTACTACTTGGCCATGATTTCACGTCCGACTATGACAAAGGCGAGGTTCATGTCACTGTAGAGTGGATGAATTTCTCTCACGAGGATCCTTATGAAATGAACCATTCGAGCGAGGAGCAATGCATGTATTTTAGGAGCAAGATGTTGGCTGAAAATGGCTACGATGAGATGCAACACTTGGATCTCATCATTAGGGAGCCCTTTGACTATGATGACTACCCACAGTGGTATGTCAATATGTTAAATGCGGCGAAGCTAAGGTACTATAACAAGGTCAATCCGGATTCCGGGGAGTTTTGGGACGGACATGCGCTTGATTACAATGACCCATACGTGGATACGTGGGAAGGATACCATGATTTTGGGTTGAACGACGACTGATTCCTGCTTGTTCTTGCATTTGCTTTCTGATGCTTTCCATGTAGTTTTATTAATTTTATGTACTCTTTTAATTCCAGTGGCACAATAAACTCTCTATAAATGTACCATTTTAAATGTCCTGTTCTGCCATTAACTTGGAACTAAGTACGTTGTTCCATGCTGACTTTGAACTAACAGATGAGCTCCTATTAAATCCATGTTAGGTAGCTTACTTCATCTAATCTAATCACCATGAAAGTTAAAAGAAAACAGTAAAAATAGCAACAACAAAAATAATGTAACAAAAGAATTGTGTCTGCAAATGTCAAATACGACGTAAATTTAGTGCAATGTTATTGTCACTAGCAAGCACTCCTGCTTTATCTCAACAAATGGTACATTAATATGTGTTCAATATGTACCACTTGGTAATGAATACAGATTACATGACTCTAATTCGGATTAAACCTTCCTGTACCAGAAGTAAAACCAAGTAGACTAGCTAACACCCCCCCCACCAGAGTTTCTGCCCCTAACAGCAGTAAAGTAACCAACAGAACCATCCAAATCCCTCATTTGTATACACTGGTTTGGGTTTGGGTAGCTTGCTTCTTGGCAGCATTTTTGGCCCTAGCAGCTTTTTGTTTGCCTTTTTTTTTTCTGTGCATGATGGGTACCGCGAATTTGTAGTATGGTGAGCTTTCTTCTTCGGTAATGGTGGATCTTTAATCATCCCCGAGGCAGATGCTTCACAACTGCCTTGGAAACCACTTACTGGAGTTGAGGTGTTTGGCAGATCGGAACCAACCGTCACTGGCGTGGTTGTGGGATGAGGTAGCTTGTTCTGCGCCACAGAAGAAGGAGTCCCAACAATACCTTAAGCACCTTCTGCAGGAACATCATCTGCATTGGCCTTAGCTGCCTCTTCCTGCTTTTTGGCAACCATTGCCAACACTTCATCCACTCTCAGGTCCATGAGTTGCAGCATTTCTGCCACATCCTGAACGGCCTCAATACATGCAGACGCCTTCGAGAAAATTGGTTCACAAGTCCCCATAAGTTTGTGATACTGCCTCACCTCTTCAGTTTTAAGTGGATCATGATAAGCTACTTTTACACGTGTGTGTTTCCGTTGAACATCCTTTCTCCAACGACGAAGAATGTATTTCTCAGGAACAATTCCCACACCACTAAGGTCATAGGCCAAAATCAGATGTCGACAAATGATTCCATGACACTCAAAGTGTTTACAGTCACAAGTTGCTTCATATGTGGTTCTATCAAACAAAAGCCTATAGCATCTCCGAACCTTTGTCACAGACTCTTTCTTTGCATTCTTAGGCTTGATCCAAATACGGTCCTCCATTACAAACTCAATCACACTATCTCTAATTTCAATTTGATCTAGACATCGCACATACAACACCTTGGTGCACTCCCGCTGAACTTCTTTGAATTTTGCGTTTGTATAGCACTTCTGGAACACCTCCTCCGTAGGGAAGACCGTCTTTAAATGCCTCACGTAGCGGGTCGTATTGGAGTCATCAACTCTTTCGACTCAGCCTTTATGGTCATAGCATCATAATAGCGAAGCACAAACTCAGACAAGGTTGTGTTCTTGTCAACATAACCTTTGAAAAAATGATTGAAGCTTTCCGAACGCTGTGTTGTTTTCATCCCCGCCCAGAACAAATTTTTCAAATATGTTGGGATCCACATCTCCCTTTCCTCAAATAGACCTGCATGCATCATTTCCAAAGAGGAAATCAGTAATGTTAATAATGGATAATAGCATCTTCCACCTTAGTGGTACAAAATAAATGCCACCTGATTTATTAAAATGCATCCAACACATACAGTGGTACATAATAAAACAAATGCATGCAACACCACAACACTAAAATTGCTACTACCATGCTGCACGCACAATCACCCATAATGCAAGTGCAGTAACCAAGCAAGCTTAAGGGTAGATCAGCTTTAGCAACCAACAACCATATACCAAAGCAGTAAAAACAAACAAATCACATAAAGCTGATTAACCTTACCTTCAAGCCAACTGTTTTCTTGTACTTCATAATACTCCACTGCATCTATCCAACGAGCTACAAATTCTTCTCCATCTAAACTACCGTATATGATATTCTCAAACTCATCCTTCACAACATCATATTGCTCATGCTTACCCACGTACTTCCAAAACTTTTGAAGGATGTGCCAAATGCACCACCTATGACAAGTGTCACTCATGGTTATATGCACAGCTTTCCTAATAGCCAGATCTTGATCCGTCAGGATTGAGGTAGGAGCTTTCCCTCCCATGCAATGTAGCCATGTCCTCAGCACCGTAAGTCTCTACCGTCTCCCGAGAGATCAATGCACAGCCAAACAGTATACTCTGCCCGTGGTGATTCACACCGACAAATAAAGCATAAGGAAGGTGAAATTTGTTCGTTAAGTATGTACTGTCAAAACAGACAACATCTCCAAACTCTTCATACGCAGCTCTACACCTCGCATCTACCCAAACAACATCTTGTAACGCACCATCTTTACCAAACCTACAAAGATGGAAATTTTTTTTATTGTCTGCACTCATTTTGTTGAAGTACTCTATCATTCCATTGGCATCACCCTCGGTTAGCTCAAGTCTTTGTTTCTCAGCAACTGCATTCTCCAAGTCTTTCTGGGTAAATGACATTTCATCCACCCCGTTCTTCTCCTTCGCCAAACAACTATACATCTGCGATACCTTTACCCTAGACTTCTTTGCATTACACACACGGTTCACCAAGTCCCCATTTTTAGACACCAACTCATGCTTCCTAAACATTGTTACATCCTTTGACTTTCCCGGTGTGACTATGTGACCTTTGTGTTTTAAGTGTACCCTACGAATAACCTAATTCCCTCCCTCATCAACACTAGCATACAACTCGACCTCACACCCACACTTTTTCGTCTTCCGTTTCACAACTGTTTCCTCATCATGCAACAACCCTTCCTTAAGTAAATCCACTTTACGCTTCCTGGAGGGTCTTCCGTAGCAGTCACACGTCCACTTAGCATTCCTCTTCTTCTTACAAAACGTTCCATCCCCCAAATCACTCTTCACCTTGCCAAACCCAGCAGCAGCCCTCACTATACCAAACCCCTTTTGCCTAGCATAACTCCAAAAATAACTATCAACCTCATTCCAACTACCAAATACCATACCCACACTCGGGGCTGGTACTTCCTCTTCCACACCAAATACTGTGCTAACTAGTACGGGGTTCTTCTTCGGGGTTATGAAAGTAGAACTTCCTGCCCCTGCACCTCCATATTCACCTCCTTCCTCCTCTTCTACTTCCTCAGAATTTGACCACCCTTCCTCTCCTTCACTATCAGACCCCTATTCATCTCCATCATCTTCTGATCCCTCTTCAATTTCCTCCTCATCCCCTTCACTAAAACCAAGCTCACTCTGAAATTCCTCCTCATTACCACATACAACATCATCATCATCATCATCATCACCACCAACACCACCCTAAAACAATCATATACACAACACCACCACAAGTAACTAAGAACAACCTCTAAATTATACACATCAATTTCAATTTCAAGCATACACAAAGCTTCAGAACAGAACAACCATTTTCTAATTTTTAGTTTCAAAATTTAACAACAAATGTTAATATTAATTTCAAGCAACTCCAAATTTCAACATACACAACACACAAATCAACCATCCCAACACACATATTAACCACGCCCAAATCAATTAATCGAGTTACAATCAACAATGTAACAATACCAGCATCAATTGCTCCAAAAGTGACTTGCAACACCAACATCAATTGCTCCAAAAATGACTTACATATAAACAATATGCCGCCTAATTTAAGCATTGTCACATTCAATATCAACAGCTATGTAATTCGAATTACCCCAAAAAAACCCTAACTTTTCAGCTAATTCAATTGAACTGTGTTAATTGTACTAATTCATTCATTAAATTGCTAAGTTAAAAAAAAACCTCATGCAATGCATCAATATACATAGGGTTTCGAACACTTACATTCTCACTATCAAAACGTTACTCCCTCCTTGCGCAACCATGGCCTTCTTCTTCCTGCAATGCTTCCGCTAAGTCAACTCCCAATATATCAGCTAAATGATTTCGCATTGTCAAAATGTAGTCCGGATTCAGAAAATAACTTTAATTTTGGTTTAGCTAGCTATAAGAATCATTTGAGATTAGGTGTTCATGGATGAACACACCATTGAAGCTTTGTGAAGTTGCTTTTCTCTTTTGCAAAAAGTAACTCTTTTGGGGAGTGGGGTAAATTTGGTTTCCCGCTTCAAAATTCACCCCCCGTTATTTTTTCTCATACTTCACAAATAACAATTACATAACAATTACATGAAATATTTTTCAACTACATCAACCAAAAAAGAGAAAATGTCAACAATTATCAATCTATTATTCACAATCATTGAAAAAAAGGAAACATAATCAATAATTTATGAACAGCTCAAAGAACCTATGCATAGCACGGGTATGGAATTGTCCACTTGTTGTTATTTATCTATTAACCGATATTAAAAGCAAATCTTTTCATGACACTTGTATTACCTGAGAGTGAGATATAACTTGTATTACCTCCTGATTTCAAGAGATCTTGGGATCGATTCTCACCCCCGCCTTTGTGGCTTTCTAAAAAAAAAAAGCTAAGCCTTCCATGACACTTGTATTACCTTGTAAACAAATTTCCTGCCTTTTTCGAGTTTTTTTTTTTAATAAAATATAGTAGCCCACATTATTAAATCATATCCAAACCAGCCAAAGTAGTGATGCTTTGGGGCGGGAAAGGACTCAAAGTTACACATTCCACATTATCACTAGTAGTCCATCTTGCAACAAGACAAGCAACCATATTACATTTGCGCTTATCATGTGAGAAATCACAAGCATCAAAGAGCATACTATCTTTCCTAATATCATCAAATACAATATAAACCGGAGCTTTGCCACCATCATCACTACTTACTGCTTGAATAACATTAATAGCATCTGACTCTATCATATTCGAGAATACCCCAATCTTCTAGCGAGCTGTAACGCAAACCTGACTGCACAAGCTTCAGCACACACCGAATCAGTTGCATGGGTCTTCTTGGTGGCAACAGCAAGAAGAGCACCATTTAGACCCCTGATCACAACATCTAGGCCAGCCATACCTCCAGTAGGAACATGTACGTCAGTATTGATCTTTACGTAGCCATAATTATGGGAGCACTTCTACGCATTAGCACTAGCAGTAGGGGAAACATTAATAGCAGCAGCTTTAAATACCTTGTGAGCATATGAGTTGTACTCATGCACATACTTCAGAAACCCCGCAGCTAACATAAAAGGATTAGGACTCTCATGATATAAAAAAAAATAAAAAAATAAAAAAATCTTCAAGTTTCTACTCCTCAAAGGAGCCCACGTGAGAGTAGACAAAATTGTAATACTCCATATTTTTATAATATTTATATATATAAAAATTATTTATTTTATACATTAAAATGATTCATTTTATTTTAAAAGGAATTAATGATTCAAATAATATGTAAGTGTGTATAAAATTAAATGAGTCATTAATGAGGCAATAAAATATTTTGAGTTGGGTCATCTTTTATTTAAGTGATTGAATCAACTTGTTGGGAAATTAAGGACACTGAAAATAAAAAGGTTGAATTAAAGAGGAGAGATGAAGATTAAAGAGGAAAGAGTTAAGAAGAATTGTATAATCAAAAATAAAAAAAATTTAAAACGACATGTGGCATATTGAGTTGAAGAAGATGATAGGGAAGTGTAATAGAACGATGACATATGTCTTTTTTGGTTTGCTTTTTTAAATACTAAGTATAGATTTGTATTCTAATAGTTTTGCTCTCCCATGCCATTTTCATAACATGAAAACAACAAATTCACTACTAAAAAAAGGCCTATTTCCGACACATTGGTTCCGACGGACACCTAATTCCATCGAAAACATAGGAAATTCCGACGGATTTTTATTCCGTCGGACATTTACGACAGATTTTAAAGATCCGTCGGAAATTTCCGACAGATTATAAATCCGTCAGAATATATGGGCTTTCCGGCGGAATTTTCCGTCGGAATTTAAATCCGTTGGAAATTTCCAACGGAATATTCCGTCGAAATATATTTTTTAAAAAAAATTCAAACCCTAATATTCAGCCCCCTTTTATATTTCACCCGCAACCGTTTTTTTCACTTCCCCCTTTTCATTCTCTCTCCTTTCTTTTTCTCCCTCCTCTTTCTCTCTCCTTCTCGCTCTGATGTTTCTTTCTCTTATTTCCTCTCCTTCTCCCTCCTCTTTCTCTCTCCTTCTCCCTTCTCTTTCTCTTCTTTCTCCGTCATCTCACCCACGACCGCCGTTGTCTCACGCCACTGCCACCCCTATAAATCCCCTTGTCGTGCCAATTGTCTTACATTTTTTATTTTATACAGTTTTTAAGGTTAAATTCGATAGTCAAAACTCTAGATCTAGAGTTTTTATTGTCTAATTAAGCTTTATTAACCTAAAATTGGTGAAATTCGAAGCTAATTTCATAATTAAAGGTATGTTTTGATGTTTTTTTAATGTTCTTTCTTTTCTTTTAAAGTTTTTATTTTTTTTAAAAAAATTGGGTTATGGTGGCTCGTTGGTGGTTTTAGGGTCAGTTTAAGGGTGGGTCGAGGGAGGTGGTGGTGGGTGCCTCCAGGGCCAAGGGTTAGGGTGGGGTGGGTTAGGGTAGTGAGAAGGTTGGTTTGGTTACGGTTCGGTCGGGTCTTGGTTAAGGGGTATGGGTGTATTAGGTCGGGTCTGGGTTAGGGGTTTGGGTTTGGGTTAGAGGTTTGGGTGTTTTAGGTCGGGTCTAGGTTAGGGTTTGGGTCAGGGTTAGGTTTGGTTTTGTGGGGTGGGTTAATTTAGTGGGTGGCGGTTAGGGTTGAATGGGTTAGGGTGTTGGTAGATCGGGGTTATTAGGTTAGGGTCGTGGTGGGTCTGGTTGGTGGGTTTGTTCGGGTTAGGTGGGTTAAGGTAGAATGGGTTAAGGTGGTGGTGGCGGCTTAGGGTCTGGTTGGTTCAGATGGTAAGGTGCGTGGTGGCGGCTTGTGGGGTGGCATTGGGGGTTGGATGTGGTGGTGTGGGGTGGGTGGGTTTTTTTTTTGTAGACGTTTCCGACGGAAATTCCGTCGTAATTTTGCGACGGATTTGTTTTCCGTCAAAAATTTACAACGGACTTTCCCGGGCCGGAATATGTCTTCCGATGCATGATTTCCGTCGGAAAAGTGCTTCCGACGGAAATTCCGTCTGAAAGGCCCTTTTTCCTACAAAGGGTTCTCTGACGATAGATTCCGACGGAATTTCGTCGGAAACACTATTTCCGACGGAAAACAGGGAGTTTACGAGGGACTTTTTCCGTCAGAAATCGGCACTTTTCTAGTAGTGAAAATCAAGCAATAATTAATTGTAAATATTTAGGCCATGGTATTTTCATCTTATTTTTGCTGAACTTATATTATTCTTAATGTATTAAAATTAACACAACCTTCGTAATTTCTACAAAAATCAACATTATATAAATATTTTATCCATATAACATAAATTATACGATATATTTTCCCTGTTTTTATAAATATTGCTAAGTTTGAACTTTTGACATTATTCATACAATCTCTTATAACCACAAATTATGATTTATACGTAATGATAATATAGTCATTTAAGACTTTTTTTTTAGATTCGTATCAATATATTATTATTACAAAAGAAACAAAGCGATGAT